TAAGCTGGAGGAGGTGGCTGGGGAGAGGGAGGTCTGGGCCTCTTTGCTTAGGCTGCTGCCCCCGCGACCCGGCCCCAGACAAAGCGGATGAAGATGGATGGATGGATGGATGGATCATTTTAAATTGGAATAAGTGGTACCTGAAATTCAGCTTCTGTGTCTACATTATGTAGAATACTAACCTGAAGTTGTGCGGTTCAGGGTTCAGTGCCTTCTTCTGGATGTCCTTGTATGTAGGTGACTTGAGGTAACGGAAGAACGTGTCCTGTGCCAATCAAAAACATGAGCATGCTAGCAACCTCCACGTGTTGGTATGAACAGATCATTTTTGACCCTCACACCAATCATGAATCTGGACACACCTTTTTCATGAGCAGGAAGACGTGCGTCTGTGCTGCTTCCAGCACATAGCGGTGAGGATGTTCCAGACCTTTCACTGTCAGACCCATTGTCCTGCCATCAATGTTGATCCAGCGGGGGGCGCCAGGGGCCAGGAAGGTCCTGCATACACACACATTCTACATCAATCTCCTCCATGGCTGAAAGTTATAGGAGTGAAGATTTAGAAAACCTGAAATCAATTTAAAATGACCCCGTCTTCCTCCCCTCACCGCAGCAGATGGCCCCGCCCCTCCCTGAGCCTGGTTCTGCCGGAGGTTTCTTCCTGTTCAAAGGGAGTTTTTCCTTCCCACTGTCGTCAAAGTGCTTGTTCATAGGGGTCATATGATTGTTGGGTTTTCTCTGTATGTATTATTGGACAACCTACTGTACAACATAAAGCACCTTGAGGCGACTGTTGTTGTGATTTGGCGCTGTCTAAGTGAATTGAATCAAAAGCTATTGTAAAGTGTGAAACTGAATCTCATGTGAAACAAAGATGTATTGTGTAACCAGGATGGCTGGATGGGTCTCAAGAAAACACAAAATGTGGAATTTAAATGTAAAAATGTGGAATGTAAAATAAAGTAAAATAGAAATCAAAGAAAGAAGAATGAGGTTAGATTATTTGTCTTACTTGAAGATGGTCTCAGCTTTTGTTGACATAGACGATGAGGTTCCCCACTTCAGTTCTTCTGCTGCTTCCCAAAAAGCCAAGTTCTCACCTGATGTGCACACACCATATACCACATTAGATCCTAATAAGTATGACAGTTTTCTGACTTATGGAGTTGTCATTGTACATATACAACAAAATCATGGGGGCTCCACGCCAAATGTGCAGGGATAAAATATAAATAGTAAGACACTATAAGACACTGGTGGTTCATCTAACCCCACCAGTGGAGCCAAAGTGTAACATTTTTGTCAAATTATGGAAACCTCTCCACAATCGTTGGCACGAAGATCTGACAAAACTAAAATAAACTGAAGACTGAATAAATACAAATGAGCTCTATGTTGAATAATAAGGGTCCTGATGTTTATTGTGAAAGAAATATGGCTGACGTGGGTGTTTCATAGTTTAGTTGAAACATCCATGTTCCCTTTGTTTTATCTACCACCCATCACCATGATAAAGTATAAATGTGTCCTAATCTTCACTGTATTTAGCTAAACATGGATAAAACTCCATGCTTGTAGTTGTTTAGTCATGCAGAACTCTCAACTCTACCAAGAAGAGATACTGTGATGAACGACATTTGTTGACGTACCACTGAACTCCTTCTTAAGGAAGATCTTGAAGTCATCTCGCCCTCGCAGGTCACTCAGCAGCTCGAATAAGCTGAAGGACCAGCGCTCCACACGCATTTTAGTAGGAACTTCAACCCTGAGGACAAACACAGGTTCAGTCACTATTGGGACATCCATCATCATCCTGCCGTGGTCCCTGGGTTCGTCCAGGGTTTGAAGTTTGGTTCTGAACTTTTTACCTGTTCCTTTATAAGATAATCATCTTCTAGTTCCTGAAAATGTTGTTTTCTAGGGACTCTGTTGTTTTTGCATTTTGGTCATAGCAGTGTCTCTTTTGTGTCCAGCTTCTGTTGTCATCTCGTCTCTCTGTGCTGTCTTGTCTCTCTTTGCCTGTCTCGTCTCTCTTTGCC